CAGCAGCTTAGCAATTACCACCCATCAGCTAACCCAAGCTGAAGAAATAGCGTTTGCATTGAGATGATATGCAAGATACAAGCTCCCTGTCAGCAAGAGTGCGCAAAATAGTTTAAATCAGTGTTTACATGGTCTGAAAAGCTCAACCAAGCTCACAGTAGCACTCCATACACGCCCATCTGAGTTTACACTTCTATCACTGATTCCCTACCAGTGCTTGTTGCTGTATTTACTCGTGCTACCAAATCTGTAATGTGTAGATCTACCATAACACTGCAGCATTATAAGCAAAGGCATTCTCACGATTTTCTTTTCTAAAATGAGCAAAAGCCTGAAAAAAGGAATGTCAAAGCTTCTGAAATGCCGGTGAGTCTATATGCAAGTAATCTGCTGTGAAAGATTGTCAGCATCGCCATTTGAGCACTGCTGATGACCAGCAGAAGAGCTGGTTCACCTGCAGGGACAGCGTGCAGGTGTGATTGTGGTGGTCTGCTACAGGATAGCAGAGCCGAAAGGAGTGCCTCAAATGGGAAATTATTGACATTTGGAAATAGAATAAGAATTGATTTCAATCTGAGACAAGAAAAGGCAGGAACTTATTCTCCAGTGGGGCAGTAGCAAAGCTTTGTGAATGATGATGTCCTACAGAACAGCACATCACAAAGGTAAAATCTCATAGTTTCATATACCTTTGAAACATTTGTAGGACTGCTTGGGAGTGATGCATTGTAGCTCATAATTAGATTTCCCATTTCTCTCCGAGCAGGGAGGCACAGTTCTGACCATAAAATCCCTGGAGCTGAAATCACTGCTTGAACTAAATCTTCAAAGCTCAGGTCTGGAAAATCAAGTAGAGCTGATCTAGATTTTGTTATCTACCAACTGCACTCATTCTGTTGTGTGCAGCCTGCCTAGCACGGTGACTAGCCATCATTCAGGCTGCTGACCTAAAATCTTTCCATGAAAATGCACTGGAATAGCTGAAGGCCATGGGACAAGTTGTTCCTTAGCAAAGATTCAGCAGGGAGCTGAAATACCTCTGCTCTGCTGCAAAAGATTTTTTCAAAGCTGAAAATAGAGCATGATATGTACAACATCAACTTTGAGTTGAGGAGCTCCCCCACAGAGAGAAGCTTTTGTTCCAAAGGATGATGCTTATTATGTGCAGCGTTATAATGAATGCAATTATTCTGTAACTTCTGTCAAACATGGGAAACAAAGGAAATGCTGAGCTGAAATGACTCGTGATCCCACCTCACACCTTCATACTGCACACCTGATAGATCTGCTTCATCAGGAAGTTTCCACACATTGCACGGTGGTTATGGTGACAGAAATAACAGTGTGTGTAAAAGTCTGATAGCACAGATATCACAGCCTATCCTCAGTGCCATTGCTGCTGCTTCAAGTCCTCTAAACAGTATTCTATTCTGGCTTTTGACTATTGTCTGCAAATTGAATGCAACACAGCACATGAAGGGCTGACTCCAAACAAATGATCTGAACATAGGATTTGACAAGTATGTCATGTTTAGCTGAACATTCACCGAGAAATATTTGAAGGTCTGAAACAGCTACTAACACGCCAAGTATATGAATGTTAAGGCCCAAACTACAAACTGCTTTCTCTGTGCCATTTCAGGCACGAACTGCTTGTTTCTGCACACGCTGTCATATAGCTGTAAAGGAAAGCATTGCTTTTGGCACTCTCAGGAGTTCACTCCATGTGTTTTTCATGCGCCATTGAAGAGGCTTCATCCCAAGCTGGCCTCCCTTATTGAGTCCTGTGTCCCCCATCGACTTCATTAGGAGCAATGTGCACGGAGGATTTCTGACAGTGCTAAAAACATCAGATGGAATATCGAGCGGCGAGGAAGCCGTATCAGTAAAGAAAGCTCTCTGGAACAGCCAGGCATTGACAGCAACACCTCAGAGCACTGCACATAGCGCACATTTACAGAGAAAATGTGTACATTTTTTTAAAGCATATATATTTCTTCTATTCCAGTTTTCATGAGCGATAAAAGTCTTCTCCCTGTTCAATGCAACCCTAACAAATTTCCAGGCAATGAGTGTATTCCTCTGTTGCCACTGTCAAACAGGAACAAAGGATGGCCTTAAAGTACGTGTTATCAATGTAATGATGGCATTGGTACCACAAAGATCATGAGGTACCATGAAGATCATCTGAAATAGAAAACCTCGCCAAAGACTGCAGGCAGCATTTTTGTTTGCGGGAGCCCCAGGTGACCCTGGTCCAAAGCAAAACCCTTCTACCCCTCTGTGCAAAGTGTAACTGTGGTCATAAAATATTTCTGAAAGTGGGTTCTTTGCGCTTTGCCACAGCCACACCAAAATCTGCTCCTTCTTTGCAGACTGGCAGGCATGCTGCGTGTGCGTTGTGACTTGGGCTGGCAGAAAGCAGCATTCCAGGGAGACAGAGAATATATCAGGAGAAACAGAGAAAAAGCAGAGTTTTCTAGACAAATGCTCTGACAACAGGGGCATGCCTGACACAGCTACCCATCTCTATAGGTCAGGTTTTATGCTACCACCTGTCTCTTTTATGATTGCCCTGTAAAATCAGTGTCAGGCGCAAGGGATTCGTGAATCTTTGACTCTTCTCCCTTTTAAAGGTCAGGGCTCCACTTTTTAATTGAAAAAGCAAAAGGTGAATGAACCTGGCTGTGAACGCCACTGCCCTTATTATGCGTGCTCAAAGACTGCCAAATTACGTTGAGGCTTTTGGGGAGTGCAGAGAGCAGGGTGCCACCATCAACTTACAATGTTTCTCCAAGAAAGGAGGCATTGCTTGAGCCACAGAAAGGCGGAGGCAATTGCAGGACTCACCAGCATCAGGGTGGGCAGGGCAGCCACTTTCCTGACTCTTGTTTTCCTTTTGATAAACTGTGAACACGGGAGCTGTGTGATTCCTCCTTGGATTTTACCAAGCTCTTGTACACATACACTCTCATCACCTGTTCCATCTCTGTGCGTGCTGTTTGGACTTGAATGGAGGCGGTTTGGACTGATGGGTTTATTTTTGCAAAGCCAGGCATCATCTTGGCATCATCTGTTGAATATATATCTACACCTCTAATGGTTTCCCTGCCTTCTTCTCTAGTTTCTCTCTTCTGAAGAGACATTTTACCTTTAGCTTCAGTAAATTTGCCTATTAAGGCGCCTCTGTAGTTTATGGCACACATTTATCTAACCTGTCACTGCTACCTCCAGTGAGAGGCTACTCCTTGATGCCTTTATGATAACTGTCCTCAAAGTTATTGTGTAATATGTTTTTTATCTGAGCTGAAATATTAGGAAGCCTTAGATCCAAGCTTTAACTCTACCACTTTTCAGCTACCTTACCATCTTTGTATGGTCATTTTCACCACAACATTTTTTCATTTATTTTTTTTCTCAGAACTTATCCAAGATGCTATTGGAAATTTCCCTCATACATTGAGGACTGTAATAAAAGAAAAAATGTTCATGATTTCTATTCTACAAGAAACCCGCATAAAATTCATCAGCAATTTTTTTCTTTTTTCCCTTTGCATAGCATATATGTGTTTGAAGGTGACATGATAAGAAGACTTGAGAGGCCCATAATTTCCAGATACAGTTAGGTGGGTCTTGTTGCTCTTTCCCCAAAGCTTGCAGAGCTTTATAGCTAGCAATCCTTTCTGTTCTTCCTATTTTTGTTTTATATATCTCGTTTTATATATTTCATTTTATATATTTAATTCACGAAATTTCTTCTTGAAGATGTGTCATTAACATGGCAAAAAACCCCAACTGATTGCATGCAGGTAGAAGACCACGTTATGTACTCACAGCCTGATTTAGACTAATAAAAAAAATTCCCTATTTTATGCAGCATTGTAATGTTCTGCTTGACCCTTTCTCTAACGCCTTGGTGTTCCATCTGCACTGACTGACTTCTGAGTGTTAAGGAGGTATATCATCACTTTCTCTGATGGCTATTTTAAAAAGATTCTGCTTTTATTGCCTGTTGCCGTCGCAGGAATCATAGCACTCCTTACCCCTTGCTACTTCTACTCCATTTTCTTATTTCACATTCTTCTAGCTGTTAAGGGCTGTATTTGTTAGCAGAAGTGCCTGTCTTGGCTCATCTTCTGATTTCATGAAGAGAAGACAGAATATATCTTCTGCCATGAAGACGTTCTGCTATGAGGTGGTATATTTGTGGATTGCCTATTACCTCCTTGCATTTCTCCATTTACTGGTCTGCAACAGGAGAATAATAATGCTCACTTGGAGCTTAATTGCGTATTGTTGGAAATGTATTCAAGACCTCTGGGGAAAACCTGACTAACAATTCTTCCTCCGCTGTTTTTTTTTTGCCCTCTCTTTGCTCACTGTTAGCTATTTTCTTTCCAGTCCTAGCACTGTTTTCTCTTGCTTTTCTTCTACTGAAGAGAGATACAACCATCTGCATGGGCAAATGTTTGCTCTGACAGTGCATTGGTACTTGGCTGTACAATAGTCTCTCGAAGGATATCTCATTCCTCTGCCTTTCCCAAAAGTAGGGAAACTAAGATGCTCATTAAAATGAGGTCCTGTGACTTCATCGTTTTCCATCTCTCCCAGGGCAATATCTACTAATACCTCTCTGGCAGGTCACCCCCTTGAATATTTCCCCATTCACTTTATGTGAAATGTTTTCAATTAGTCTGTTACCCATCAGTAGTCCTCATTCTTCAAAGGTAGTTTAATCCATGCCTGATGGATTATAGGATGCACCCTGACCAAGAGCACCCCAAAGTGAAAACGCACAGGGGCGATGCTTTCACTGCCCTCTCCAGCGAGAGCTGGAGGAGCAGCAATCAGCAGGCACAAAGCTGAGCTGTCCATGGCCCCTCACCCACCCATCTGCGCTCAGAGTGCGCTCAGCCTCACTGCACGGGACTCCCCCACCATGCAGATTCCCAAGTTGGGATCTGCAGCAGCCCTACCAGCCCTCCGCCACCCGTACTCACAGCACACAGAGGCAGTAGACCCCCGGGATGCTCTCGCTGTCCCGCAGCAGGTAGCTGCCATCAGCACCCGCCGCCAGCAGCAGCTTCTCCCCAGTCTCTCGAGTGATGCCCCCGTGGTAGATGGGCAGCGCTTCCATGGCCGGGCCAGCTGTGTCTGCACCGCTGCCACTGAACCCAGCACGGTGGTGGTGCTGCTGAGATAAACAGGATGTGTTCACACTTCTCAGCCTCCGCAAAGGGCAAGGCAGCACTGAGGGAAGAGTGAAGAACGAACATTGCATCTTTTGCTTTTTGTTCAAGCACTGGGTTTTTTTCCTTTGCCACTTTTTGTCTTCCTGTTTCGCAGGCTGTGACAGCATCACAGGCATCTCACAGCCCACCCTGCCCAGGTGTCCTTGCTCAGCCCACACAGGATATGGTGCCTGGCATGAGCTGAAGTGCTGACAAAAGGGGGCAAGTAGGATCCTGAGGATTCTCTGCTAATTGTAGATGGAGTTCTTAAACCTCCGTTTTTGCAAAATCCTGAGAAGTGAGAAACTGAAGGCAGCAAGCTTGGGCTTGTGGTCACACCAGACTTCTGGTCTCAAGCTGCAGGCTTGAGTGTCCAGCCACAGCCCGGGCGCCAGGCTGATTTACCTCTGAGGGGTTGTTTTCATAGCCGTGGGTCGGTGGTACTTAATCACTGCTAGCACTTGTTCCTGCTGGAGGCAGGCAGGCCGCAGTGCAGGCAGGGAGGCCCCACACATCCTTCCTGAAACCATGAGCACTGCTGTCATGCAGGCCCTGAAATCCAAAGACATCTCTGAGAAAAAAGCTGCTTCTCCCAGCTTCTGTGCTCACACAGTTCTTCAGCATGCTTCCTACTCAAAAGCTCATGGTTGAAACTTTGCTTTTTGTATCCCCTAAAGCATCCCTGCTGCAGCCGTGTTCCCACAGCTGGGTGCTGGGGAAAGGGCATGAACTGAAACACAGCAGTAAGTACGGGTTGTGCTTGCTACAGAGTTGCTCTGAACTGAGGTTTTTCCCCTGCAGGATGGCAGTTCCACCAGCATGTCACTGTGCAGCTGGCATCAGGGTGCTGCGCCCTCTCATCAGCACCAGGCTCCAGCATCCCAGGGCATCATGTCCTGGCAGGTGCCTGCTCCCAACCCAGGGGCTGAGGCAGGAAAACCTCCTCTTAAATTGGTCTGACCGCTTCCACTGTTCAGTGATTCTTCTGTCTGGTGATGCAGGTGCTCCTTGCCTCATTTCCTGAACTTGAGCACTGGGCTATCCTGGTCATTGTTTTTAATGGATTGTTGAAGTATTTGTGCAACAAAGTAGAGTTGCTGCCTGCTGCACATGTGACTGATGTGGACGGTGACAAGGACTAAGCAAAGGACTGTTCCCTGGTAAAGCTACCCCCTATCTTTTCTCCTTTTCCAAACTACTTGCACTATTGTGGATTTCTTCTGACTGTTTCCAGTGTCCTAACCTATCTTTGACACTGATAGCCAATTTCAGAAGAAGGTTTCTGGCGTTAGTTGGAAAGGAGAAACCACCAGAGTTGTCCACTGCTGCAGATCTCATTTTCCCCCTCATCGGTTTTCAACTGAAGCAGACATAGAAAATCATAAAACTTGTGACTACAAGAAGATCTCATAATAAGGGAGTGACTGCATTAATCCAGACCAGCCTGCCTCCTCCCAGCAGCTTGATGAAGCTTTTACAGAATGAAAAAAAAAAGAGCTGCAAAGGCCCACCTTTGCTTTCGTGGGTAGGGAACCCACAAAAATCCAGCTACCCAATCCTGAAGCCAGGGCTTCCCTGCACATCCTTTCATGGGCACACTGACAAGGGAATATGCAGCTTCAAGAAGTAATGGAAATACTGAGTTCTGCAGCAGTGTGCTGATGGTCCCTTTGAGCACTCATGCCTGCCGTAGGATGCTGGATTTCCCTTTCTCTTGCTCGGTTTGCATGGTATTCAATGTATTCTGGACACTGTTTTTTCTGTCCTTCACTAAATCGGTCCAGCTGGCAGTCCCTGGAGAACACTGTAAAAATTTATCTAAAAAATACATGAAGGGAAGGAAATACTTAACGGCGCTCTGAAATATTTGGCCATGAAAAGCAGGCTTAGAAAGACAGGGCTGCAGAGACCTCTTGGGTCATCAAGTCTAGTTCCCTGCTATCTTAGCCAAACACAGCACATAATCCCTTTCAGGAACTCATTATACTCTGTCTTAAAAGTAACTTGGGCGGTTGTTTTTTTTTGTTGTTGTTGTTGTTCCCTCTGTTCTCATTGGAAAGCAATTGCAGAACATCACTATTCTGTTGTTTGGAAACCTGCCTCCAATTTCTATCCTAAATTTATTCATGACCAATTTATACTCATTTGCTCTTGTGCCAGTGTTGTCCTTTGGTTTGAATAGAGGTTTTCTCTTTGTGGAGCCCATGCCCATGCAGTATTTATAGTGCCTCTCCTGCCCTTCGTTTTGTCAAGCTACTCTCACACTTAAGGCTCTCTCTTCCCATGGTCACTGTTATCTTTTTTGGTAGTTTCCCAGATGTGAAGTGAATCACTGGTGAGTAGCGTGTGCTGTCCTGGCTGCCTTCTAACCTTTTCCCCAGGTAAAATACTTTGCTTTGTATGCTCTGTGCCTTTCTCCATCTTAGTAAGTTCTTCCCATTGAGTACCCAAATGTACAGGCATGATCATGCACTCAAATCCTTCTCAATTTCATCCAATTTATATTATCCCAGTTCTCATGGTCACTCAGTTCTTCCCAAATGAGAAGTCTTTTCAGTGACAGTAGGTCCCTACCTGATGCCACTGGTAAATTCAAGTAGCACATGCTTATATTTTTTATGCCATCATCATTAATAAAAAATGCTGAATTGTATCAGGCTCAAGACTAACACTTGGGAAACTGTGCTGCTTTCTCTCAGACTCAATCCTCTCCTACTACTTCATTATCCACTTCCCAATCTTTTTGCACAAATCTCTTATTTTAACTAATAATTTCCCATATGGCTCTGTACCAATTGTGGTACTTACGTTTAGATAATTAGCTCTAAGCATTTCCTTTGTCTATAAAAGTAAATTAGGATGGTATTTTAGGCACCATCATGGTATTTTAGACAGGTACTTGTGAAAGGGCCTGAGAAGTGGAGGCAGGGAGGGATTTTTGAATACCTGCAAAGATTTGAGCCGATTTTCATTTTCAGATGAGCTGCTTCATTCATCCCTAGTGATGACATTTTCATACGTTGTTGAATTTTATAACAAATCTGGATATTGTAACATGAATGAAGAAGCATCATTAAAATTTGCAGATATTGCTATTTGACTGAAAATACGAACGACCTTTAGGACCTGTAAGAAATTAATGTTACTGCAGAACTGTTACAGAAAGGCCTTGTAGTTCTGCTGATGCAGCAGTAGTATCATAAAGGCCATCGCTGTGGAAGTACTGAAAAAGCAGCTTCAGAATCGCCAGCTATTGCAATGTTTTGTAGAAAAAATTAATTGGCAAAAAGCCACATTAAAACGCAGCTAACTTAAAATATAATTTTCATTATTTCTTGTCACTTTCATTTTTAGTGTAATCTAACAAAATAATCAGAACAACTGTACAGAATAGTATTTGCAGACAGCCTTGTTATTCACATAAAAAAGTAATACTGAGATTCATTAAAATTTTGGTTTCGCTGCAGAGTACCTGCAGAGTCACCATTATCACATTTCCTTTTTGAGCTGAAATGAGATTGAAAAATGCAGCTACAATTAGCTAATGAGAAATTAACTGCAGGGTTCTGAGCATCAGCAAAGGAGAATCTGAGGACATTTTGTAGTACGGCTTATACATCAGCATACACTTCTGCAGCCTTCATGTTAGTCATGATGCTCAGTGGATGTTGCTTGGAAAAAAAAATAAATAAAAAGGAAGAAAAAAGTAGAAGATGGTTATAATAAATAAAGTTTGGATTCGGGAGCAGGTTCCAGACTTCATACTAGAGGATGCATAGTTTGGCCAGTTCACATTTGCTTTTGAGAAAGACCAACCTGTAAGACTGGCCTGTCACAGAACTGCCCAAATCTTTGGGTAACCATGAGGGAGGTTGCAGAGCCCTGCAAATCAAGCAGAGCTCTCCTTACCTGGGAACATTAAGTCCTCCAGCAGCACTTTAGGTGCTGTCTGGAGCTCTGTACTGGGCTCAGAACTTGATAAGATAAACTTTCTCCTCACTGGCAAAGCGGGCAAACGTCTGGTACTGCCTGTGGGAGTTGGATCTGGAGGAGACTGAGAGTACAAAAGGTTAAGGCCCTTTATGAATGAAACCCTTTATGCTCCTCAACATTTTTCTTCTGAGCACAGATAAGCACACGCATACCATAAGTGATATCATTTCACTGAACTTTAACAATGCTATTTCCTCTGCGTGGCCTCACAGCTTACCTGTGCAGTTGTTTTGAATGTTTTTTTGAGCGAGATAACACTAAAATTGAAAGCTACATAATATGATGACATTCATATTAGAAGTTATCTGTGTTTTAATGCGGTTTCTTATACCAGTTACTATTTCGTGCTTCTTTCTGCAGTACCATTGCAACAGCTGGCCATTTTGCAGGTGCGTTTGCATTGCCCAAGCAGAGATGCCATTTGCGATAATGTCAGCACGAACAAAGCTACTCTTAGGAGCTCGTGCTGTTTTGATTCCCGCTATTACTCTTTTGACAACGCTTTCCCGTAACATTCAGCAGTGTGCGGGCAGTCGTGAGCATTACGCACCCAGCTGCTTTGGAGACCAGGGCCTCCGCATCCTCATGATTTAACCGAGGCAACTTCAAAGTTGACAGGGCTAAAGCGTGTAATGACACTCTCTGGGTGGAGAAAATGTCCACGCTGGAGCTCTTCCTGGATACATTCCTATGTGAGCAAGTCTGGAGTTGCACATAAGCTTTAAAAACTAGATTTTCGCACAACATGCACGCACAGTAGTAAAAATTGATTTGCTGACATCCCAGCTGAGTTCCTAACGGATATTTATCTGAATTACAACAGCACTGTGTAATTAGGTATAAATAAGGGCCTTTGTTCTGGAGGGGAGGAAAGTTTATCAACTCTGAACCATATGCAATTGCGTGTCTAATCTCTCCCTGCAATTATTTCAAATGCACATCCAGATGATAGCATTTATATTCATTCCGAGATTCACTGAGTTTCAGGCCAGAAGGGATCATTATACCATCTGGCCTGACCTCCTGGATATCACAGGCCATTACATTTCCCCAATT